TCGCTCGTGAAATCCAAATATAACTGTGTTCATATCCGACGAATTTGCAAAAGCGATGATTACTTTCTAATGATAAGATCAATATTCTTTTCTAAAATTATCAAAAACCGAATATTTACATGCTTGATATCATATTATACTTAATCGGGAAATCATAATGTGTATTCTCTTTTACTATGTGTAATTATATAAAATTATATATATATATATATATATTTCTTTTTTGTAGATACTTCTAGATAATCTATAATTTGCGGTAAAATTCGAGACAAAATTTTATTTCTAATTTTATGTTGTATGACATACAAAACGTTTGAAACAATAAATACTCTTGTATTCTTAAATTATAATCTCAGAACGAAACAACTATTGTGTTATTACTATTAAAAAAAAACAAGCATTACTTTTTATTATTGAAACGCATTACATTATAATTTATACATTTGATATATTATAAAGAAATTGAGATAAAAATTTGATTCATTTATGATTAGTCAAAATTAGCTGATATTGATAAAATCAGTCACACAGATCTCCTTCAAGTTTGCATATTTTGGATTCTACTATCTCGGGGATCTTTGAATGTTTGCATCTTCCTGAAATTTCATCTTCGAGAATCTCGAGAGATTTTACGACCGTACCCTTTGCTGTCTTTCTGTTCGATCGCCAGCGTTTCCGTATAACATTCCCGAAATTCAATCATCCTCTCCGACTGTTAACCGAAAGCGGCAACGGAAGTACATCATTCCGCTGCCGTTGGTTGGTTTCCCCCCGACGAGGGTCGTCAGTTGGGAGAACGTCGCATCACGCGCCGCGTCCTACTCTCTTTCTCCACGGGCTAAAAACACGTGACGCGAACACGTGGGAAGGAGAGACCGTGGCAGAGAGACCTTTCTCTCTCCTCTCCCTCCACCTGGGGCATAGTTTGTCACTCTCTTTCTCTCTTTTCCTCTTTCTCTCTTCCGTTTCTATCCTCCGGCGGCTAACAGGTAGAAAGAGAGACAGGTGGCTCGACGATGTATTCATGATGCCGGGTGCGATACGACAATTCTGAACTCCACGGCCAGTGTCCGTGATGACTGCCCCGTGAATCGACGTATCTGTCCGATTGCAAATTCGATGTCGCGCCGAGCTTTGCCTTGTGTCTTTTGTAAAATTAATCAAAGTCTCTTGTCCGCAACACGAAGATACAAATAGAATTATTATCGGTTATTGGTGATACTTGATGACAAAGACACAAAGTGCTTGGGTCGAAATTGTGCATTTTCTCGCAACTGCATGAATTAATCGACGAATTTATATTGATACGGAATTTAAATAGAATCGTTGAATAGAATAATGAGAAGATAAAGTGTATCGAATAACGATTGTTTTTAATTTGTGTTTAATTTGCGTAAGTTGAAGAATGAAAGTGAAATTTAATGATTTATACGTCACGATATATATGGATCCAGCTCCGAGGGTTTCGTGTCAACGGAAAATTAATTCTTTAACTATAAATGTCAAAGTAAAAAATTAATTAAATCGACTTTTTCATTAACGTATAAACAAAAAAAGATACAATGTGTTTATAAAACTTTTAATAAAGAGACTATGTCTCGAACATATGTAGATCCTTGGTTTCGCAAAGCTGTTTTGTCTCATTACGTTCTAACAAATCTGTATATTCTTCTTCCCATTAACTCTTGAGAACAAAGGAATGCATTTCAAATTTACTTTACGCAATATTAAAATAATTATGAATCAATTTTGTTAAAAGATATATCTCTCCGCATTTTAAAGTTCTATCTAAATGGCAAAATATTCATGTGCCATGTGTTGCGATTCCTATGTTTTCGCATGATTCTCTATATTACATCCGATTAACACGTGAAAGATATCCGCTTCGTGTGATTTTAATGTTCCAGAAGTGGAACTGTGGGGAGTTGTGTAAATCACACGGGAAACGCTACGGGTTAATAATTCACGCGTGCGCATTTACCAAGTTCGGAGTAGATCTCGAGGAAAACATCGGTCGTGATCCGCGAACCGATTTCGGTTTCTCCTTTTCAGGCAGATAATGGATATTGACCGTGGTGCATTCTACCGAATTCTGTTAGCTGGAAATATTTGCACGATAATACTGGCAGACGAGTCGATGGAAATAGTCGCAGGCACCAGTTCTGTTCACCAATGACTATCTACGATATTGTCGATAATGATTATTCTCGCTAGTTAATATTTGTTTCCGTTAACAAGATTGAACTGTCACGAGCTCACAGCTTCCAATCCATAGCCGGCTAATTTTCAGTCAAAACAGCGAATTAATATCGAAATTGAAGATAGATACCCTGATTAATATATATGTCACAATCATATATTAATTAAATCTCATATACAAATATATATATATAAAATTTAAATTAAATTTATTTATATAAACTACAATTTTTTATTTTTTAATTTCTCATTTCCTTTCGCTTTTATTAAAGATGTAAAATATTGAAAAAATGTTACATTGTTGATTTAAAAAATACAGAAATGAGCTGTAAGAATGACGTGAAATAATAGCACTGTGATGTGATAATCTTCAGTAAAATTTTCAAATTCTAAATTTATTTTTAAATTTAAAAACAGAGATTTATAACGTTATATATATATTACACACATATTTATCTTGTTTTTATAATCTTACATTATATATGGTATTAAGATGGACAAATCTCGCACTTACATAAATACTATCGTACGTTGAGATTTTGCGTGCGGGCAACGTGACAAAAATGGGCGACAAAAATGACGCTATACACAGGAAACAGGTCTCATTTCCATTTCGTTTCACATTCGCGATCCGGCGAACTCGTCGTTGATCGACGTACAATCCGTACGCCCTTGTCGCTCAATTTATACGGGACATAACGCCGCGACACGCCCCGGAAACTCGCATTTCGTGAGAAAGGAAGCTCGTCTTCTCCTGCAATACACACACCCCATCCTACAACTTACCGGCGATATAAATTTTTGCGGCGAACGCGGCGATAAACTTAAGACGAATATCTTTCCGGCCACGGGACGATAGATAAATAGAAAGCGCGGCTACGTGATTCGAATAGCGCTACGAGTATAACACGTATTCGCGTCTTCTTTTCTACGCCTCCCCGCGGATTACTTTCACGATTATATATTTTGGCCTCAGTGTAGCGTTTCAAAGATAATTCTCCGTTGGGGAATCGAATTCTCTCATCACTGGCGATCTCGAGAGGTCGATCGAACAGATGTCACGTTTCGACGAAACGGATTTATCGTAAAAGCTTTCACGGTATAAGGGACATAAATAACTCACTGCACACGTTTCGTAGGAGATACTTAGAAATTTGGGGTATTCCAAAATCTACGTCTCTTAAAGTTAATGTCATAATCGAGAGACACACACACGTAGCAATCTAATCTATATGTCAAAATATCCGAGAAAAGAAGCGAATGATACAACGTTATACAGAAGTATTACATCGGTGTTTCTAATTTTAAACTTTCGATATTATGATCTGCAGAATAACAAAATATTTATTTCGTCGATTCTCCCTAAATTTTTGTGATTTTCTTTTGTGATTATATCTGATTGTAATATGAAAGGTATTTGCTTCATTTGATCTCAATGTTCCAAAAGTTGAACTGCGAGATTACATAAATTAGAAAACTAGGAAATTAGGTTATCACTTTAAATATAGAAACAATGTTTTTAATTTTATTCAAGATACATTTTTAAAATCTGCGTAATATATCGGTCCCAGAACAAGAATACATAACGATAAATATAGAGATTTACTCAAAATATCAAATTTGTTTCAATTATCGATTTATTCAGCTAATATATATTAATCATTTTGATTTGATCTTCGATGTTTTTTTGTTTAATATCATCACTTAGGTATAGATACGCTTTTATTGAAGCGCATTATTATGTAGGCACGGACATCAGCGTTGCTGAAACGAGCGTCCAACCGTAACATTTTATATGGCTTCCTCCTACACACATAAAAAATGACAGCGATACATACACCAATAGTATCAGCATAGTTATTTACTGACGATCTGTCGCGATCCTACTTCCGTCATATGGAAATTTCGCTATTCTGCAACGCATAATTGCTTACTGCAATCTCGCAAATTCCACGATATTGGTCGTTTGTACGCGTCAATTGTTTCGCAGTTGACGCATGGAAAATACAAACATTTGTATTTCATTGATTTCCATCCAACAAAATATAATATTTGTTCCATTTATTTGATGTGTTATAATTAAATAAAAAAGCGCGCGAAATACTTCCTCAGAATATTATATATTTATATATTTATATATTTATATATTTTTTTCATCATCTTATATACTGCTTATTTAAAATTTTAAATGTCAGATGAGAAAATCTTTAAATTTTACCTTAATATCTCTTGCAGCGCTGCAAAATTATTAGGTATGTTTAACTGTGGACTAGGATCGTTATTTCATAAAAGTCTTGGTCTATGTTTTAATTGAACGTACCTAATATATCTCTTTTTGTAAATAATACGGGCACATTGAATTTAGAATGACCCAGACAGTAAGCATTTTGTTGTCTTGGACAAAATAAGACGAGAATTTGTGAAACCAAGAATTTATGTATATAAATGATTGGATTAAAATTTCATATAGTAAGTTAATTTAACGAATCGCGTTTTTGATATAAACTATTGATATTTATCAATAGTAATAAATAATACATTATCAACAATTTAATACAAAATTTTAAACGTTCGGAGATTTAATTAAATATATTGAACATTATTTTATGCAGACAAATATCCAACAAGCGTAACAAGAGAGGATTAAGAAATAAACTCATCATTCATTTCACCAAATCAGATAAAAATAAACTGCTAAATGCATTAACAACATCGACGCTTTCGCACTCTTCTTCTCATCGATCTAAAAGCAAGAAATACATCACGCATCCTATCTGTCTGAAAACAAATCCACGGTTAAAATGCTGATCGCCAGTGTATCCAACAGTCAAACAATTGCTCCTTCGCCATCCGTGAAACTACGACGATCCCGCCGATTGTCGTCCACCAGAGGATTAAAGCAACGAACGATCGCGAGTGTCCCGAAAGACTCCTTTCCTTACCGAGATCTCGATCGAAAAATCGGTAATCCTCCGCCTATGGCAGGCAAGAGCATCGACGAGGAAAACGCCAAAGAAGGACTGTTGATAAACTGGGAGATGAACGAGAGAGTCAGTTTAAGCAGCCGTTCTAGCACTGGATTAGCAATTCGTCCTGACAGTAGGAAAGGCATCGAGTTTAGCGAAAATTGCAAGAGGAACGTTGAAAGTAGATCGAAAATCGGCTCGGAATGTTCGGAACGCGAAGTCAAGTCATCATCATCAGCCGCACCGTTGGAGCTGATGAACGTGTCCGGTTTCGCCGGGTCGAATGTCGCCAGGAAACATCGCGGCGCCTGTTCGATTGACATGACGGACGAGAACGTTCTTCGGAGCGATTCGAAATACGAGATCGGTATTCTCAGTCGTGGCTCCACGACTCTGAGAAAACAAAGGCGGCAGGGCGATACGCTCGGGAAAGACAACGGCGACGCGACAAAGAGATGGACCAAGGACTCCATTTCGAAACGACTAGAACTGATCCACGAGTTGAATCAGAAGATCTTGGCTAACTACGAGAGGTTCCAACAGAAATCGAAGCGTACCAAGGACGCAAAGGAGCAGACCGTCAAGAGCCGAGTCAAAGATAAAACTGATGCCGAAGAACACGTTTATACGGAGATCAAGAAGAGACACAAAACAGGCTCTCGAACGAGCGATCAGAAGGCTCGGGATATTCTTAAACACGATACCTGGCGAAAGAAGTCTTCCGACAAAGACACTTCTAGACGGGCGGATACCGATAAATCAAACTTTTCGAAAGATTATCACGAAAGAATCGATACCAAAGGTCGAACGGAGAAAAAGGATAAATCCGATCGAAAAATTGTTCGCGAGAATGCAAACTTTAGCATGGCGGCCAAGGAAAATTTTTCGTACCAAATAGACGAGAAAACGCAGTTATCGAAATATCCAAAGTTGAAAGATAAAAAAGGACGATTGTCGGAGGAAAATTCGATTTTTTACACAAACGAGGATATACCTTCAAAGGAGATGGAATCAGTCGCGACTGGAAATTGTCTGGAGAACTCCAAATTATATCCCGAGAGCTGGAACCCGCGTAATAACGAGACGAAAAATGACAGTTCGATGGAGAAGACTGAGGATGGCGTTTCGCGAAATCGATTCGAAATCGATTCGCAAAAAAATACCATCGAATCGCAAACGGGAAGCGGAGACGCTGCGACGGACGAGAAGATTCTGGAGTGTAGAATTCTCGAGAAGCTAGACAAGACGATCGACCGATTCGATAGCGAGAGGACCCGGCTATCGTCAGGAGACAGCAACGAGGAGGGGAACAGCTTCAGCACGGATTCTATACAGAGTCGAAGTCCGAAATCGGAAGAAAAATGCACGAAGGATGTCACCAACCTCCTGCAGGATACCTTCAATTCCTCCTGGGATTCGGGAGTCGGCGTGGCGGACCTCGGCAACGGAAGCGGATGGGTGAGGATACACACCGGGATCGAGAGCAGTCTCGTCTATCTCACTCTGGACACCACGGCTAGAGACGTCTGCAGGGACATGCTGCTGGGAGACGACTTGTCTCTGTTTGTCCAGGTAAACGCCAGTTTCAAACGCAGCTGATTGTCGCCTTCAACTTGCGCGGATAGTATTTGTCTCGTAAGAGAATGAAATACGAAGTGTAAACAAGATAGATGAAGATACGAGGGACAATATAATCTCAGGACAAATTCGATCTTTTTGACGTTGCAAAGAAAAATGTCTTAATAAATATAGAGATTACATCTCGCGCAATTTTGTTTCTCGTTTTCGTTTCAAAATATTGAAATCTGAGATCATTAAAATTACAACAATTTTAATCTACATATATATATATATTTTTTTTTATTTTTTTTTTTTCAACCATCTGACGAAGAGAAATTCAAAATGATCCGCCCGGTCTAGCTTCTCAAAAGATAACGACGTACGCGCGAGTAATCAAAAGAGACTAAGACTTAAATAGCCGGCTAGCTCGATGAAAGAAGTTTTGGCTCAATGAGATCGACTACCTAAAGCCACCGAGCTGAAGTTAACTTTGGCTTCCGTGAGAAGGACGCTCGCTCTTTATTCCGCAAACCCTTTCTCTCGGTAGCGAGGACATTCGAGTAGTTTGTTATCTCATAATTGTTAATTGGCCGCAGTTAATTATCGTTGGTACATATTAAACTACAATGAAATATCTAATTCTTTATGGCTGCTTAGAAAAATAGCAGCACCAACTTAAAGAGCCATATCCAAAGGAATGACAATCGCTTTTGTCAATAATTTGATCTGTCTATATAAAGCTATACACGAATTTTAAAAAAATATCAAATCATATCTATTTAACTTACATTTTATATGATAAAATCAATAATAGCCTTTATTACAATAGCGATATTGATTAAATATATTTTCGAGTAAACACGAACCGGAAAACAAGTAATATGTTTGATTGAGTTTATTGTCTTGTATAAATTAATCTTTCTCGTGTATACACTTTTTGTTCGATACTTCGCATTAAACATTCGCATTGAAATCTGTAATTAAAACTTTCACAGGATACACTTATTGCAGATTAAATGTTGCACGATACAAAACCCAGATCAAAAAGAAAATACTTATTGACAAGTGAAATTATATTTTGATTATAAAATGTTAAATCTATACAGTAACGCATTTAAATCATTTTCTGTGGTTCTTTTATAAGCTATTCGAAAAATCCGAGATAAAAGAAAAATATATAAATTAATTTATAAAAATAATAAGCGCAATTCTCTTTCTTATTCTCTAAAAGTTATTCGTGCACGTAGTATTTATCTCTATATCTATTTAATTACAAATGTGAAATAAAGAGATATTATTAATTAAAACATTATTAAAATATATAGAAATAATATCATATTTCACCTTTACAATCATATAACTACAACCACTAATACTTTTGCACGCTTGAAATATTTCTCTCTGTAATTTCAAAATGTCCGGAAATACATATGTTATTTTATATATCAATTTTCACCATTCGTATATAAACAACATAGAAATTTACAGTTTAATACGCGGTAATCCATTCTATTCTGACGTATTAAGTTTACTTGCGAACAGTGCCGTTACTAGGCAATACGCAACGTACGCTCCAGCGTAGGGCGCAAAATATTAACAAGCGCCAATAATTTTTGAAGCGTCCAAAAATATATAAAAATTGACCGCTTGATCTGCGATGACCGTCCCTACCCGGCTTGATGCCGCCCGCTTATAGATTCCCATTTAATCGTGTGGCGGCGAACCAGAAAACATAATTTTTAAATTGCCTTTTATCTCAGTTTTACAAAATATTATTAAAAAATAAGATATAAAATATATTCTATTAACCCTTGACACACACACACACAACGTACACAATATCAAAACAAATATAAAAATAAAATAAAAATTTTAAAATATATATAAAAATTTAAAAATATAAAACATAAAAAAATATAAAAAAGCAAAAAAATGGAATTATCATGGTTCTGAATAGTGTTAAAAACAGGAATTTTTTAAACTATTTTTTATTTGCCTTTGGAGCTTTGAGCTGAAGCGCGCGAGCGAATTCCAGCATAAGAGTACCTAAAATAGCCATAACATTACTGTTTGCGAACTTGTTGCAAAATGAATTCGCCAATTTATCTATATTGTATGCATGGTTTTTATGCGGCAAAAAGCAAATCCAACATTCCCCTGGTTTTTACCCGCATATTACTCTTCGTCTTTGAAAATGTAAATCTGTCGAGAGCTGTTACTTTATCTTTCGATATGTGTGTTTTGTGCGTAACTGTTTAATACAATCATTCCAAATACATCTTGATTGACTAGAATCAGGATTAAACAATTACGTATTTATTTATTTATCTCGCATAAGGAAAAAAGTACCGTGGTCCGCATTCACAGTTATAAAAGATATTGTACGAAAAGCCGAAGAATCAAGTGACACCCGGTACGTAAAACGGACGCGGATCACGATCGCCATGTGGCAGCGGAATTTCTCCGTCGGCGAACCGGAAGAGAACCGTCGTTCAAAGTTCCGCGGGAGCAGTAGAGGGGGG